TATGAATCATGCCTGTCTCATAATATGGCTGTTGTGATGTTGGTTCAGAACACATATGGCTGGTGTGTAACAGTGTCTCCTGGATAAGCACTGCTTTCCCATCTCCTCTTCCCATTATAGACTGAAGTTCCTTAAACCAGGTGTTCTGTGAAATGCATGGCACTATGTTCTGCATACAGTTGGTGCTCAATGATACTTATGTGAAGATGAGTTACACCTGGCAACTCACTATGTTCCAGTAATGCTCTGTCTCCATTCCAAGTAGATCAGGGGTCCTCCATCTCAGCACCATTCACATTTTGGGCGAGGTAGTTCTTCGTTCGGGGGGTGTCCCATGCATTGCAGCATGTTTAATTGCATCCCTGACTTCTACCCACTAGATGTCTGTAGCAGCCCCCAAAATATCTCCAGACCTCACAAAATGTCTCTGCGGTGGGGGTGGGGGTGGTGGGGGGGAATCACTCCCAATTCTGAACCACTGCACTATATATCCTGAGCACCTTCACAAAATCCAAACAACTGGCACTGAGAATCTCCCTGCAACGGGTCTACGACTGCAAAGAGGAGCGGCGAAAGTCTTTGTATTCATGGAACTCAAGACAGGAGAAGGCATTTCTCTCTTTGTCTCTTTCTGTGTCTTACACTGTTCCTCTATCTGAATCTCTGTTCCTCTCCCAACCTATCATAAGAATAAAGAAGTTTAAAAACAATGCTAATACTAAGTTTTTGGAGGGCGGGATGAAGATTTCTGAGTCAATCTCAGAAGATGAAGTTTAAAGAAAACCAAGGGTTGCCATCTGAGAGGAAAGAAAACTGAAGCCGGAGGGTTGCAGAGGTTTTCTGTTTTCTGCCCTGGAGCTCTTTTCTAAGATGCCATTTAGCCTCCTTAAATGGATCCGTGAAGACTTGAGCCAGTAATCTTGGGGATAATGGTACTTCTCTTCTTCCCTGAATCAGAGTCAAGGAAATCTCTTCTGAGAGCTTTCATCACCTCTTGATGAGTTTATCACATCATCCTTCTTTTCTTACATGTTTAACTCCTTAAAACATCAATAACATTCATTACCCTAAAAAAGAAAAGGGTCGAGAAGGCAGTCATGGAAATGGCTTGATTATCATAGTGTTTTAAGTGCTAGAATAAGAGGGTAATGATGAAACTACAAGATAAACTTCAAGAGAGAGAGTGGCCAGCTGCCCAGGAGAAAAGAAGTTCCCGGGCTGGTATTTGTGAACTGTGTCTTGAAGCTTGAGAGGCAGAGGAGAAGTGACAGCATCTACAAAGGGGCACAGATAGAGAAAGTCTAGCATGTCTGGGGAAGTGAAGGAACGCTCTGTGAGCTACGTGGGTGCCAGGGGCAGATGGAGAGACTTAGGAAGGACTTGATAAGTCCCGATCAAGAGTTTGAGGCCAGGTGTGGTGGTTCATCCTTGTAATCCCAGTGCTTTAGGAGGCTGAGGCAGGAGGAATGCTTGAGGCCAGGAGTTTCAGAATAGCCTGGGCAACATAGTCAGACCCCATCTCTACAAAAAATTTCAAAAATTAGCTGGGTGTGGTGGCACGCGCCTGAAGTCCAAGCTACTCTGGAGGCACAGGCAAGAGAATCATTTGAGCCTGGGAGTTTGAGGCTACAGTAAGTTATGATTATACTACTGTACTCCAGCCCGTGCAACAGAGTAAGATCCTGTCAATGAATCAATCAATCAATGAGTTTGGACTTGCATGGGCCTGCAGGGGAGAGTGAATGGGAGTTACTGGTATGGAAGTGAAAGATTCCGATTTGTTTTTGCCCAATTCTGACAGCAGGTGGAGTATGGCCATGGGTGCAGAGAGTCTGATGTCAGAGTGATTAGGCAGGAGGTTGCTATGAAATTATTTAAGTGAGAAATGCTCCAGATAAAGACAGCAGCTCTGGGGGTCCTCACAGAAAAGGCAGCTGGAGTGGAAAGCGATTTTTGAAATAAGAGATAGGCAGGGCAGGAAGAACCCATGAAAGAGATTGAGAAGCAATGAATGGAGAGACGGCCAGAGAAAGGATGAAGACATCCAGGAAGGTGGGACCGGACAGGGTGGTGAAGCCGCAGGGAAGTCAGGAAGGAGAAGTGGCCACTAGGTCATGTAACTCTAGCTCTGCTGAACTCAGCAACAGGGATTTCTAAAGATCATGTGAGGCAGCGTAAAAGGGAGTTTAAAGACATGTGCATGGTGAGGGGAGGTATCTCCAAGGTTCGGGAGAAGATTGTGACTTGAAGGAGAAATAGGACTTAAGAAGGGTTTTGATTTGAATAGCAAAGCCTTCAGTGATTTTGAGAGCTAAGAAAGAAGTAGAAGAGATGAAAGACTCAGCAAAAATGCGGCGAGGTGTGAGAGGAGGCGATAAGGAATGGGCTCCAATGAGAATGTGAAGGGGTTCACAGTGGGGCAGAGAAACCGCAGGAGGACACCACCATGTCCTCTTAAGAAAGGGGGCAGGAGGCATCAGAGAAATGCAGATCAAAACCACAATGAGATACCATCTCACACCAGTAAGAATGGCGATCATTAAAAAGTCAGGAAACAGGCCGGGCACAGTGGCTCAAGCCTGTAATCCCAGCACTTTGGGAGGCCGAGATGGGCGGATCACGAGGTCAGGAGATCGAGACCATCCTTAATGTGATCCTCCAGCTCCCCCACCCCAAACAACGGCCCGTGTGTGATTGTTCCCTTCCCTGTGTCCAAGTATGTCTCATTGTTCATTCCCACTATGATATGAGAACATGCGGTGTGTTTGTCTTCCTGGTCCTTGCGATAGTTTGCCTGAGAAGATGGTTTCCGGCATGGCATCCTGTCCCTAGAAAGGACCACAAACTCAAATCCTTTTTTGATGGCTGCTAGTGATTCCATGGCAATATGTGCACTTTTCCTTTCCAGTCTCTCATTGAATGGACATTTGGGTTTGGGTTCCAAGTCTTTGGCTATTGTGATAGTGCCGCAATAAACATAACGTGTGCGATGTGTCTTATAGCGCAATGATTATGAATCCTTTGGGGTATGAGTCCCAGTAATGGATCGCTGGGTCAAATGGTATTTCTGAGTTCTAAGATCCTTGAGAATCGCCACAACTGTCTTCCACAGTGGTTGAACTAGTTTAACAGGTCCCACCAACAGTGTAAAAGTGTTCCTATTTCTCCACAGCCTCTCCAGCACCTATTGTTTCCTGACTTTTTTTTTTTTTTTTTTTTTTTTTTTGAGCGGAGTCCTCGCTCTGTCGCCCAGGCTGGAGTGCAGTGGCGCAATCTCAGCCACTGCAAGCTCCGCTCCCGGTTCCCGCCTTCTCCCTGCCATCAGCTCCCCAAGTAGCTGGGACTACAGGCCGCCGTCCACTCGCCCGGCTAATTTTTTTGTATTTTTTATAGAGACGGGGTTTTCATTGTGGGGTGCC